AAAGAGTGAGCACTGAATAACGCCGGCCTTATTGTTCAGTTATCACATCATGTTTCTCTGCAGTATTGTGCTCTTGGGCTGAGCTCTGTCTGGTGGCAGGTCAGTGCGTTCCTGTGAAGGCACCCCTCCACGTTTTATTGCAGTGTTTTGTGCCTAGTGAAGCCCACAACAGTCTTTACAAGCCTTTGCAGCTCCGCCTAACTCCATGGTCTGACCTGGTATGTTCTCTGCACTGCCAGCCTTTCTGACATTTCAACTTGTATGGCTGGCAACGCGCCCAGTGTCACTCCTGTTTGGCTGAGTGGGCATCCGGGTGCCAGGCAATGCAGTGGCACAGTATAGACAGCAAACCTGGCATGCTGGAATGGGCTGCCAAGAGCGGACACAATGAAGTGGCAGTTGAGCCATTCTCTGGCCAAAGGGCGTGAAGAACAATAGACAAGCGGAGCATTAAACCATTAGTAACCGACCTAGACTCTCTTAATTAAATCCTCTGCCACAGTGTGAGCATCTGCTGTTTTGTGTAGGTGGTTCATTTTTAAGAGCTATTGTACAAATTAAGCAGATCAGAGTAGTGCTGAAAATACTAGATTGATTATCAAGGGATCAACTGGAAATTTGAGGATCTTCTGCCATTCTCAGTTTTATATAATTGTCAATTGAATTTTTTTTTAAATTTTCACTATTTTCTTACAATTTATAGACTAAACCAATTGATTCATCAAAGAAAACTACTGACTACTAATGAATTGATAATAAATTAATTTGAATGGCTGCCATTTTGGCCAGGTCTCACTTGAAAAAGAGATCTTGATCTCAATGGGACCTAAAGGTTAAATAATTAATACTAACAACAATAAAAATCACAAAAATACTTATTTGCATCCTACAATCATAGTCAAACTGGATCCAGTCCATCCTGTCACATGTTTACATGCTAGCCAATAATATACTGTCTATTTGATCTCTCCGAGGTCTGTCAGTTATGCTGTCAGTGGATTTTAACATAGTGTTAAGGGGGGTGAACTCACTGGCAAGAATCTGGAAAGTTCCGGTGAGGAAGAAGCGTCCGCCCTTCTGCAAAGTGAAGAGCTGGCAGAAGAAGAGGAAGAGAGAGAGGCAGCTGAAGATGATGGATAGGATCATAAGAGCCTGGACTGCCTGGATCCACTCTGCAGGGGAAGAAGGAGAGTGTTATCAATAACTGACCCATAGTCATCATTAGCCGTTGAGCCAGAGCATAATTTATATATATTTAATAAGTGCATAAGAGGGAAGGGCTAAGAGGGAACAAATGGACAAGAATGTCAAAGTGTGCTTCCACCGGCCTCGCCTCTACTGACTGTAAATATCCTTTCAAAGAGAACTTAATGAGCTGGCCTCAGCCATGTTTACTTCTGGGACCATGTAATGGATCCCTAACAATGAAATCTAGGTATCTTGTTCCTAAAACCTCACATATGTCTAAATGTACTGTATCGATCGTTACTGCAAGGTCCTTTAAGGCCTGGCTGGTAGAAGCCATTAACCCATTACACACCTGTTAGGGAAGGCCATCTACTGAATCTTTTCCACCTCTCTGAGTGTGGTTGTGAGTTTTGACTATGTGTTTCTGTGCTTCATTTGTGCCGTCATGCCAGGAATCCCAGGATTTCCAAGCAGGGTCTATTTCTTGTCAGAGGGTTACGCACGCCGCCTTACTGATCTCTCAGGTTTCCTAAGCGTTCAGGCTTTCCCTCTCTGGATCCATCTGTTTAACAGTGGTCGCTGCTACTGGCGTGTTTTTGTGCATCTCACAAGCTACTCCGACCTGAAGGACTGCCACGATCTGTCATTGCACTTCACTCATTTGCTTCTGCTCTGTCCTTGTATCAGCAAATATTCCAAAAAGTCCATAAAAAGTGGTTTTATTCATCGGTAAACTCTGACATTTTAATCTCTGACATCGCTTCAACATTTTCAGGCTCTTGTGCCTCAGTAATTCTCTTTCATTATTTAAAACAAAAGCTCAGATCATAGATCTAAAGGTGAACAGAATCTGATTACACAGGGCTGTCATGTTAGAATATCAGTTACACAGTGCATCACGATGGTCACTGGCTCGAGGATGACATATGGGAGGAAGCATCACATGCTGTAAATATCCATCCATCCATCCACCAGAGCAACAATTAGATTCCACTGTGAGGATCCTGTTTTCAGATGTTACATAAGACTGTGTTAACACTGTGAGGGTGAAATGTTCATCGCTGTCCTATGAATAGTGCTTAGTTATAAACAAACACTACATCACTGCTTTCTGATAAGACAGACATCTTGTCCTCTTTCCTTCCTTCACTGACCACGAGTAGGAAACAATGACATGGGGCATTTCCTAGCATGAGGCGTGGTTTGGGGCTCAGAATATCACTGATAAGAAGGTAGGACTCATTCAAAATTCACATGAATGCCATGTTTTATTACAAAGCAGTAACTTCCCAGCTTCTGCTGGATCCTAACACTGTACTGTAATAGCAAACAGGAAAACAACAGTGGCTTCTCAGGTCCAAGACCCCAGTGCTCTGAACAGTGTCTCACTGTTTATGTATGGTGGGCCTGTGTGAGGCAGAGTATGCTCTTCCTCAGTATCTAATCTGAGAGGAAGTAAATTCTGTGAAATAATTTTCCTGGCTTTAAGGACTTGGTTATTTAGTCAAGCTCAGCATGTGATGTCTGTGACATAAATATCTCTCACCTAACAAAACCAAATGCAACAGGAAACTCAAAAATATCAGAAATACCCTAAAAATAACTACGATGACTATGATTCATTTGAGAAGGAACTTGATTGCTCAGCAAGGCTTCAAAAATCCCCTTTTAAACCCGGTCTTGTCCCCTTGCTGACGGCAGACCTCTAGCTTCTATCACCCAAAGCTGAAGCACAAACACACACGCTTTCTTAAATAAACACTGTGCGTCAGTGTGCTATTGAAAACAAGTCAAACAAACTGGCTGCGCCATCAAACTACCTGGCAGAGTTTGCAGGCACAGCTGCCCTGAGAAAACACACACTGGCTGAGCATGGCTTATTCTGGACAAATGACATCACCCCGCCACAGGCAGCAGCTCCTGCACTAGTGTGACGACGCATTTAATAGCAAAACATGCACTTAGTCAACAGCGATCACACACCGAATTGTCACTGAATCATTCATTTTATTGCAATTTAGTTTTCAAAAACTGTGGAATCTAATTATTCGTTGTTTAGTGCCTATGTCATTCTAATTCAGATATGTGGAGGTGACTGATTCCATCTAAATAAATCTCTTAACACTGCAGCTGCTGCCTTTAAATTGACCTTATGATCCCTGCAAGCTAACATTGGACACGATGAGCTGACACTGGGCGTGACCCCCACCATCTGCATGCTATGTTCTGCACGCGGTAGTCCTGCATACACACATAGATCTATAACTTTAAATACCCTCTGCTGCCCCACCCTGCTCGTCCACAGCTCCATAACCCCTGTCACTATGGACTTCTAACACGGGACCTGAATATGGACATCACACCACAACTATTTATACAGCGGCAGCCTATCAGCTAGACCCTCCAAACAACACTGTAACATTCTCTGCCCTAGATGGCACCAGAGTCCCAGAGGAGCTGCGACACACCCACATCATCAACATTGGCAGATGTTAGATTTCAGCAAGTCATTTTCTAAAGTTCACATTATTCATGTGGGTTTACAATCATTTAATTGCTATCATTCTTTTTAGTCAAGTCACATGGCTGAAAACTAATGTAAACCCTGATTTATTGCTGGAAGACATAGTGAGAATAATCAAAGCTTCAGATTCATGATTGAAATGTCCAGTATTAGGCACTGTAGCACAGAAGTAGGTGAAGTAGACTGACCTCCAGTTGATGCTGGGCTACAGTGGTATCCAGCAGCAGCAGTAGTAGTGCAGTTTCGCCAGAGGTCTGAGGTGCTGGTTTCATTGGTAGTCCATACCTGGTGTCAGCAATGTATGATTAGGTCAGTCATGTGAAAAACAGCAGCCAATGGGTCAGAAAATAAAATTCCAAATGCTAGTATTATGTTAATACTAATCAACAATACATCTGAAATTGTACAAAAGCAAAAAATCAGTTCTTTCTGTGGAGAATTAGATTTATAGAATAGAATCATATTCATTCATAATCTTCTTTAAAGTGTTCCTTTACGATTAGCTGAGGATTGTCACCGATGTATTTGTTTTATAAATGACGTCAAATTTTAAAGGGAATGATGAAATTTCATAAGAGCAAAAAAGAAAATTTTACTCACGCTGACAATTGTTGACACAAACAGGAGAACCAGTGCAGCGATGTGCAGGAAGATGATTCCCAGTAGTAGGAGCAGCATCTTTTCAGACGATCTGAACAGTAATGAGAAGAGGAGACAGTGTGACCGTCAGTATACGAGTGTGTGCTCGTCTGCCTGTTTGGTGAGACATGGGTGTGTCGCTGCAGCACGTTCAGCACAGACAGTCTGTAGAGAAACTTCACCAGAACCTGTCGGATGGCAGGGTCCGCCTTTATACATTACCAATAAAACATTAATCGAGAGAGTCATTGCTATAATAATATAGTAAAAGTATTAATATTCCTCATTTAGGAACATGCTTCGAACGCCTTTTGTTTGTTTAGTGGACGTTTAAGATAACCCCAGGGACTACAACCATGGAGGAAAAGCTTTGCTGTTTTCAAAATGCATTTTTCTTGTCTGACATTTCTTTCCTTTTAATTTGGCTTTAAATCGCCGTCGTGAGTCATCTACAAAATAATTCCACTAACGACCAGTGATCTATTCAAAAGTAAAATAACCGGTTAAAAGAAGGAAGGGAAGTAAAATTCCATGCAGCTTGAGTGTATTTGTCAAACAAAATTATTTCTTAGTGACCAGATAAGATTAACACCAGGCTTTGTGAGACTGCAGCTCAATCCTGTTTGTGCGCGTAACGGAGAGGTCTGCATCCCCGCGAAAAGCGCGTTTCCTTTCCTTTCCTTTCCTTTCCTTTCATCCATCAGCACAGACTGTGAGTGTAGCTCAATCTAAAGAAGTTTAGAAAAGACCAAAGTTCACTTACTTCGAGCAGGGAGCTGGTATTTCCGGAAAAAGAGGTTCAGGCTCGCAAGAAGCAAAAGCAAGTAAAAGAGTCCAACAGCGGTAGTTCCTCGGTCCTAAAAGTGGCTCTCAGACTAGATTGATGCCAGGGTTTACGTGCTGTTATAAAGTGTCTCATTATGGAAGAACAACGCCCTGCGTGCGTCCCTACGTCATGGAGTGACCCTCTGATCCACAGCCAAGGTTCCCAATATAGTTCCGCCATGCGTAATAGCGCACGGGTTGCTTGGTTACTAACTTGCTGTAGTGACCTGACTGAACATTGTTTGTCTGTAGTGGTAACTAAGAGGAGCTATCTGGATGTTTTTTTTTTTTCTCTTGACAGGTTCCAGTTTTTATTACCGTTATATACACTGCACCATACAGTATCCACTTCAGGGTTCCCTTTTGTTGATGTATGATCTCTTAAGATAAAAGTTACATATATGATTATCTTTTTGTTGCACAGAAAGCAGATATCATCAAATAAGAATATATTTTAGTGCAGTGTTTGGCAAAGCTGACAGTGGATTGCACAGCGCACAGCACGATTAAAATCGTTGCCTTTTTACTGGATTTTATTTATTTATTTTGAAGTGATTTGACATTTTAGCCAAGAAGATACATTTTGTCAAGCCATGAACTACATTACTTATGTCTATAATACAGTAGAGTAAATATTGTGGACATTTCCTTGTAAGCTTAACTTTTTGTTGCCTTGGCAATTACAAACACAAACAGTGTTGTAGTGTGGCATAGTCTGGGGTCTTTTCCCTCTGGTTGTCATGTATTCAGCCTCATGACTCACAGTATGTGTGAAAGCGTAGATAGGTATGCCCACTGCACCAGCAGTTAGAGATAACATCTGGGGCTCTCCTCTATTTGACGTGACTCATTTCCATTGGGAGTGAGATTGGGTTCCACCCAGAACATGACTGTAGCCCCGGTTGGCAAAAGTATGTGCTGAAGTTAGTCCTATAAATATGGGTGTTCCAATGAATGGAATTCCAGGAAACATATTCAGGGAGTATAGGGAGCGCTCAAAGCTGCAAATATTTAAAACTAGGAATTGTGACTGTTTTATCACTTCCTCCCACTGGAGCTTCCTCAGCATTCAGTCAGGAGATAAAAGCTCAACCAAAGTCTGCTGTTACTTCCTCTTAACACTGGACATATGTTCACAAGTCATCAAACACATATTGCTTCACTTCTGGAATGTATTAAAATTTATTTCACACTCTGTACAGAAAACACCAAACACTCCTCATCAGCAGCAGGTTTGTAGTGGAGCTTACAGGAGCTGTTCAACCTCAGATAGCCACTGTCAACATCCACTCCCTATCTCCTACCCCTTGGCTCACCCTTCCTAGATGACTCTCACTGTGTATCTCACACTCACATGAAAATGGAGGCCTTTCTGCTGCACTAATGTCTACACACATGAAAGGGACAGTTACAAGCCCATGAACTGGTGCTCTGGGTGAGCGCTCTGTCCCCGCTCCGTAAGCACACTTTGGAACATTCTTAGCCTGAGCTGCATGGAAGTACCTCTTTGTCCAATATGATTGTTCTGCTGTTTATAGCTGATATGTGTTGTGTGTTTAACCTAATGTAACTCCGGTTTTTAACTCAGTTATCAGGCCTGAACTTTGATTGTAGCAGACTGGTCAGCAGTAAAAGGTTTACAGTGACATGTGGATGAGCACTGCTGTTAAAACTGTGGAGTAGCTCCACATTCCCATCCCTTATATGTCAATGTTTGTAAAAGTCTGACAATCAGTGGGCTGAGTACACATGGCAGCGTTAGGTTTACAGCATTTGTGAAGTTGGGGCTGCAGCCAAACTTTTGGGGGAGAGCCGCATAACAAACAGTCCGAGTTGGATACTGAATAATGTTACATCAGGAACACCAGCTAACATTTCACCTCCGTCGTTAAGATGACACGATTAGGGCAACTGACAGTGAGCCTGCATACCAAAACCACAGACAGGACCTAGGCCAGGGGGCATGAATCTGGAGGGTAGACAACATGACTGACTTGCTGTAACTCCATCCAAATACCAGCACAGAGGAGAGTGTTAAAACAGATGCAGCCATCATAAGTAATGGCTCTTTATTTTCTAGGAATATAATCTGTAAAAAGATATCAAAAGATAGCAAAACGACATCAACACAGATGGGACAGATTGTTGATGTTAAAACAATGTGCCAGGCTGCCTTCTTTCATTTAATTGCTCCAGTTTCACCAGGCTTGGCTCTATTAGCTGTGATGAATAAGCAGCTCATACTCACAGCTTGTGCTCCTTACAGGTCAAGGGGGGGGGGCCTTTTTGCGTCACTGTTTGACCCCCAGGGAGTGTGCTCACTGTGGGTGTAGCGAGCTGCAGCAGCTCCCCTCCTGCTTCAGCAAGCTCATATTGGAGTCGGACTGCCCTCTTCTCAGCCCACATTGGACTCTTCCGGCTAAGTGTTTACCGACTCTGTTAATCATATTCAAGCAAGATTGTCAAAGTCATAGAAACTCAAACGCAAATTGAATACGGGTGGGTATGAGTAAAAGTTGCACATTTAAACCGAGTAGAGGTGAAGACGAGTGTGGTGGGAACACAGATGGGGGAGTCAGACAGGCTGAAAGAGAGGTAAATAAGAGAGGTCTTTTTTTGTGTGTGTGCTGATTTCAAACTACTCACATCCCTTGTCATGTCATCACACTTTAATCAGAGTGATAACAACTGAGAGGTAAACTGAGCCCTGTCTCTTAAAATACACTAAGTGCACAGCGGACTGCCTTTGATATATGTACAGTTAGCCTTGCATGTGGATCAAGTTCCTATGAAAGCTCAAATGTAACAAGATAATAATTAAATAAAGTCAGTGAAAAGGTGAGAACGGTTTCGTTCATAAACCATGGAAGTGTTTTCGTCATACCTGCTGTTAGATTGCCACAGATGACGTTAAATTTGCGCTGATAAACGAGTTGTGTAATCATAATTCTAACCCTAAAATCTCACTGTGTGGAGATTTTAATAAATAAACCCCTCCCCATCTGATAAGCATGTCTTTAACTGTCAGCTACCCTCCCTCCATAATGATTCAACAGGAAAAACTGCAGTACTGTATCTTGATCTCTGAGTCACTGTATTATCCAGCCTCTCCTCTCTAGCCAAGTCTTCATCAATAATGAAGAGAACTGGCCTCAAAGATCAATCTTATGAATTGATCCAGAATTCCACTTAATCACATGAATGGAGCCCAAATGTCTGTCTTCTCCACACTGAGCTGTATGCAGCAAGCTTTGGGGTCAATCTGTGAACTTTGGTTCACCTCGAGACTTCAGACTCCCTGGCAGGAGACACAGTTATGTGCAGAGTGCTTGTGGAAGATGATGTCAATTGAATGAAAGGATGGATAGGTAAAGATTCGTCATGCGAGCAAGGATCAGCAGACAGCAACACACAACTACACAGCCACTGTATGTGAAGTTGGCAGTTGGGATGGAAAACCACATGGAATATGTGTCTTATCAGTCTTTCTCCAGCTTCCTCTCTCTACCTCCTCACAGCTACTAGGCCGATTACTCAGTGGATTCATGCTTTTTAGTTTCTTTTTTGTGTCACCCTAGCTTACATTAACGGAGAACCCTCACAGCCTGACAGCCTTTTGAGAAAACTCAAGTTATGGCACCGATCCAAAAGCCACAGGAAGAGCTTGTTCCCATGAACATCTGGTGTTCACTTCAGACTAAGCTCTACAGCAGTTTGAGATGACTAGAGATGAAGTGATAAAAGTTTCATATCGCTGAACTACAGTGATTTAAACTAGTCCATTAAACGCTGTCGTTGCCTAACAAGATTTATAGGACGAGTCTCGCCGCTTTCATCACCCCTCAACAGCAAATGATAAATTTAGCTACTCCCTGGACGGCGCTATAGGTCACCGTACACCAAAACAACCAGGGTGCCCAAGGCTCCCTGATGATGAGGTTGATCTGCCATGTATTAACATTTAAAATTCCATTTGATTGCACCTTGTTTGAGCCTTTGTTAAAATGGGAAATACTGCACATTGGTCTCTAGAGTGAGGAGGCTGCTGAATGTGTCTGAAGAATGATCTCTAACTTGTTTTCACTCCATTGACATATGTTTATCACTAAATAACAGATAAATGTGTGCTCTTTCAAACTGTAAAACTATGGTAACAAAGATTTACAGAATATGTGCAGTGAGCTGTCATCCAGCTGCCACGGTGACTCCTATGTACACAGTATTTGGCAGGTGGTAATAAAGTTATGGCTGATCCGTGTATTGTTAAACTGGCAAATGTTCAAAAACTGTTCATCTTCAGTGATACACACTCAGTTAAAGTTTGTAATTGCAGCACAAAATTTTAAAAACCCCCAGACTGGCACTAGTTTTGTGATCTGTAATCCGTTCTTTAGTAAGGCATTATGGTATATAAGCAGTACAAAAAAGCATGGGACACAGGTCATCTATAACAAGAGCGGGTGTTAAAAATAAACTGCCAATATGTTTGGATTTCTCAGTACATTCCCCGTGTGCATGGGTGGTGGTAGGTCATGTATGTAGGAAGGCCTGTTTGTGACCCATCCAGAAAGAGAACCAAAGCCTCAAGTAAAACATGGGAGACAGAGTAACAGGGGGTTCATTTCTGGGCCATAACAGAGGGAGTTGGAAAGGGAAAGACGAGGAGAAACCCTCTTTGTCAGTATGTTTAATTACAAGGCGATGAGAGCAGGGAGTCTTCTGATGTCAGCTAGACAACAGGGGGCCTTTCTTCACAATACTAGGGCTCAGGAATGCGCCCGGGAACAGGATTCTGACATACAGTATTGTTCAAAATAATAGCAGTACAATGTGACTAACCAGAATAATCCAGGTTTTTAGTATATTTTTTATTGCTACATGGCAAACAAGTTACCAGTAGGTGCAGTAGATTCTCAGAAAGCAAACAAGACCCAGCATTCATGATATGCACGCTCTTAAGGCTGTGAAATTGGGCAATTAGTTGAAAGGGGTGTGTTCAAAAAAATAGCAGTGTCTGCCGTTGACTGTACAAACACAAAACTATGTTGTACAAACGTTTTTGTTTCTAGGATTTAGCAATCCTGTGAATCACTAAACTAATATTTAGTTGTATGACCACAGTTTGTTATAACTGCTTCACATCTGTGTGGCATGGAGTCAACCAACTTGTGGCACCTTTCAGCTGTTATTACACTCCATGATTCTTTAACAACATTCCACAATTCATTTACATTTCTTGGTTTTGCTTCAGAAACAGCATTTTTGATATCACCCCACAAGTTCTCGATTGGATTAAGGTCCGGGGATTGGGCTGGCCACTCCATAACATTAATTTTGTTGGTTTGGAACCAAGACTTTGCTCGTTTACTAGTGTGTTTGGGGTCATTGTCTTGTTGAAACAACCATTTCAAGGGCATGTCCTCTTCAGCATAAGGCAACATGACCTCTTCAAGTATTTTGACATATGCAAACTGATCCATGATCCCTGGTATGCGATAAATAGGCCCAACACCATAGTAGGAGAAACATGCCCATATCATGATGCTTGCACCACCATGCTTCACTGTCTTCACTGTGTACTGTGGCTTGAATTCAGAGTTTGGGGGTCGTCTCACAAACTGTCTGTAGCCCTTGGACCCAAAAAGAACAATTTTACTCTCATCAGTCCACAAAATGTTCCTCCATTTCTCTTTAGGCCAGTTGACGTGTTCTTTGGCAAATTGTAACCTCTTCTGCACGTGCCTTTTTTTTAACAGAGGGACTTTGCGGGGGATTCTTGAAAATAGATTAGCTTCACACAGACGTCTTCTAACTGTCACAGTACTTACAGGTAACTCCAGACTGTCTTTGATCATCCTGGAGCTGATCATTGGCTGGGCCTTTGCCATTCTGGTTATTCTTCGATCCATTTTGATGGTTGTCTTCCGTTTTCTTCCACGTCTCTCTGGTTTTGCTCTCCATTTTAAGGCATTGGAGATCATTTTAGCTGAACAGCCTATAATTTTTTGCACCTCTTTATAGGTTTTCCCCTCTCCAATCAACTTTTTAATCAAAGTACGCTGTTCTTCTGAACAATGTCTTGAACGACCCATTTTCCTCAGGCTTTCAAATGCATGTTCAACAAGTGCTGGCTTCATCCTTAAATAGGGGCCACCTGATTCACACCTGTTATTTCACAAAATTGATGACCTCACTGATTGAATGCCACACTGCTATTTTTTTAACACACCCCTTTCAACTAATTGCCCAATTGCACAGCCTTAAGAGCGTGCATATCATGAATGCTGGGTCTTGTTTGCTTTCTGAGAATCTACTGCACCTACTGGTAACTTGTTTGCCATGTAGCAATAAAAAATATACTAAAAACCTGGATTATTCTGGTTAGTCACATTGTACTGCTATTATTTTGAACAATACTGTACATGGTGGAAACCATGGCAGAGACCTCTTGCCATTGACTTGCTCCTGAGGGTTGTAGTCAAACACAATGGTGTTTGCACAGAGAGTTGTACATGATACCTAAATCAAAGCGCAATGAATGGTTTTTATTTATGGTCACTCATCTCTCCTGTCAGGAATCTGTACAGTGAAGCTGCTCTCCATTTACATGTGAGATGTTGACTTGCTTTTATTTTAGGATTTAATTAGATCAGGAGCCAGTTTTCATGATCAATTTGAGGTTAGCTTTACAGCTTTGATTCCAGGTCGTATCTCTTATCTTGTATCTCTTGTCTCTGACTTCCATTCACTTTGTCTGGAGGTGCTTATTCAAACTGAGAAATATTTTGTTTTTCAGTGATATACCTTCTTCCCACCGGTGCTATACACTAGCAAGGATGTGAAACAGAATAGCTGGCTAAAATAGGAATGGACTTCAGGGGAGAGAATGGAAGGATTAACACATGCAACAGTACTAAAGTTGCTATTTTTGAAACACAACTCTTTTGCTATGTATTGTGGACAGAGGTGATCAGTTTAATGACTGGAGAGGTTTTGACTGCTGTAGCGATGATGTTACACTCACACAGTGTTAGTGTTGTTCCTCAGTGAAGCCAAAGGTTAGGCAGGTGGTGCAAAACAGCGGAAGGGCAGGGTTCTTACATGCACACCACTTTCCTAGGGTGACATTGAGGTCACTTCAAGCTGACACATCTGAGTGAGCCTTCAGAGGTGTCTGCATTTGTCTTTGCAACTAGCTGTGTTGCACAAGCTAATCTTTGCTATTGGTTTGGAGATTACTGTTACATGTGCTGTCCAGAGCCCTCAAGATAGAAGAGTTGTGACACTGAGAGGTCAAAAAGAGTAGCGGGTCGTGTCACTCGTGAAGCTTCAAACTGTTCCAAACAGCGATTCAGATCTATTGTTTTCTGTAGGGAACAGCAGGATTTATCAGCAAATTACTGTTGTTAATGAATTGTACAGCCTTACAAACCGTTGTGTATTCTCTTGTTGTAGATAGCTCGGCTAATTTAGCTAGTCAGCTAGGTACCTAATCTATTAAAGTGACACAATATTTGAGAGAGAATGTCAAAATTAAACTTAATTTAATCAATCTTAAAAGGTCACAGGTATATTTATTGCTGTTCGTTTCAACTTCTTACTTTAGAAGATAGCAGCCAAGACATTTTTGTAAATGCTCTCACACAACGTATTAAGTGTTTGTGTACTCATATTTAGGACAGTGCTCTCTGACTTCTCTCTGAAATTTATAGCAGGTATGATGGATAATTTTCCAGTGATTAGTTTTGATAATTATTAATATACAACTTTAAAGTGTGAACACGTCAGTTCCCAGCATTTTTCAAGGGTACCATTTATTAGTATGAACTAAATTTATGGCAGAATTAAAACAATAGGAGACACCAAGTTATGAATGGTCAATTGTCATAGCACCTGATTCTTCAACAAAATCACTTTTTTTTTTTCTTTTAATACATGTTGTAAATACATTACAGGTGCCATACTTGGAATTAGTCCGATTTTGACATCAGTGCCAGGAAAGATATATGTGTTTCCATTGAAATCACCCACATCACTCTCTAAATCACTCCAAAACCATTAAAATAAGCCTGGTTAATTAAACTGGTCCTGAGAGGCTCCTTTTTTAAGACTCGATTTAGGTGTAGCCCACTAGACGGGGCATGCTGGGAAAGCTCTTGCGCATACTCATGCACTTCTCCTGGTCCAAGAAGAGTGAGTTGGCCTTGATCGAGAGGTCATGCTCCAGGGTCATTCTGGTCTTAACCAGAGTCTGCAGAGTGTTCTCAGCCTCCATCAGCCTCTCCTGAAGCTTCTGAATGGTGTCCTCAAGCGCTCTCACCTCACTCACAAGTCTAAATGAGAAGGAATAGTCTGTTAATGGCCCGTTTGTCACTCTGGATTTTTTTCATTTTTGAGCCAATGACAAAATTCTAATGATGTCACCCATGGCTACTAATGTAATTGGGTAACTACTCATGCAAGCTAGTACCACACAAATAGTACCACACAATGGTCTCAAATGACCAAATAACCAGAAGTGCTTTAGTCACTATTTTAAATACATTTAGTTACTTCCCGTAACTAAAACTGACAGTTGTACTGTTCTAGAACTGTGAATTTTTTTTCTCATCCTGACTTTTTAACAATCTTAAGTATGCTTTTCAGAAAAGTGTGTGGAAAACAACATATTTACATCAGTGAAAGGACACCTGCTACATAATTGTGTAAAGCATTACTGGTTGCACAGCTCACAGCTACCTGTGGTGTGGGTTGTCCCTGCAGAGCTCTATGTTTGGCCTGCGGGTCCTCTCCTCCAGCCTGGTTTGGGCAACTTTCAGTGGGTTCTCTTTGTCTCTCAGGGCCTTTTTCAGAGACTCAATCAGCATCTCAGTCTGGAAGATCTCCTGCAAAGTCTAGATGAGGAGACAAGACGGATACAGAATAAAATGAGAATCACAAAAATAGCAGGTCATCAAATGTAGAGGGTGGTAATTAAGGTAAAGGAAGAAAGACAGGAGAGGGGAAGAGATGAAGACCTAAGAGGAAGTAGAAGTACAAAGCTGCACACTACAGCCTTTGAACATGGTGCTGTACAGTGGCCTGCTCTTCTCAAACCCATTTGATGTAATTGGATTCCAGTGAATCACTTTTCCTTCCATTTGACAGTGACTGATGTTTATGATGGACTGTGTGCCCCTTATCACAGCTGCTGTCAGTTAATAAACCCATCCAACAGCTGATCTGTAGCCTCTGGCAATTAACCAGAGAACAATAGGATCCAGTTTAGAATATGGGGCAAGCAGTCACAGAGGCATCTATCACCATTCCTCTCCATTCCTTTTGACAGGAATGTTTTCTAGTAAACATGGACGTAATCCTCAGAAGATAAATGTCACCTACAGGCATACAGCAGGTAATAAAGATTTATCTTATCTCACATTCTATAGTGTGTACACAGTTTTGTCAGATGGCGCTGAATAGAGTACAGCTACTGTTGATGGTGTGCCTTTGTAGAAATTTATGTAACAGTACAAACACAATCTCTTCTTAATAAGTAAACGATTTCGTTACCATCTGATGGAGGAGTTGAATGGGTTTGGTCTTTTTCTTCAGCGTGGAGCCATGTGATTGCCTCTATAACATCAGCTTTTGTTATAATACAGGCTGTTTCACTTTGAATCATCATAAACACACTGTTTTGTGTTTTGTGTAACGTGACTGTGTAGAATAGGTGGTGACCTTAGCCAGGTGGCTCTGCAGGCTGTTCTTGGCATCAGCCGTCTCCGATACGCGGTTGGTGAACGCTACGTTGACATTGTTGAACTGGTTCCACATTTCATTGGATGTGGTGTTGAGCAGGATTTCTATTTCGTCCCTGAGCTTGTGGGAGGCAGCTCGTTCGCTCTGGGACAGCAGGATGTTGTCGTCTGTGAACTTGGACCATGAGTCCGGCAGAGAGATTCTGACAGAAAAGACTGACCTAGTAAATCATGCTCCCTACTTTTCTGTGATTGACAATTTAGGTGAGCAGCTCCGTCTAGTCTCATCTTAACTATCATGAGAAATTGTGTTTGATGTGATGAAACAGAGCAGGTAATATTTGACTGCATGAAGCTGTACTCACGAGGGGTCTAGTCTTTCGATCCCTCTGTAATAGCCAATACCGTCTGATGTGTTCCTCAGATGGTGGCACCTGTCGTCTATCCTCTGCGCCGTCACTTTGTCTCTCAAATCTCTTTCCAGTTCATGCTGGGCTGCCCGGTTTGATCTGAGAAGCCCCACGAAGCAGTATAGAAACAAATACATAAATATATCAAATGCATGTCCAACTTAAATGAAATATAGAATTCTGCATTTACTAATTTTTCTTTTTTCTCTTTTCTTTTGTTTTTAGACTCACGACAGCTGAGCGATGGCTCTGTCCAGATGTCGCTTCATCCTTTCCTGACATGACTTGATGACTTCCACTTCCTTGTTCCAGCACAGGTAAATAAGATGCAACAACTTATGTCTTCCATTGGATTGGTATCAGAAGTCACACACACTCACATTGCTGCTCTGATGTTACCTTTATGAGGTCTTTCTCTACATCGTCATGAACCAGATCGATGGACATCCGCTTCTCTCTGTGGTACAAACACTCTTGAGACACCTATTGACAAAGTGATCATGACTAGAACATGTTGAGATGGTTGTATGACAAGCATAATTCAGCATCACTCAATGTGCAGCATTTTCTTCGTTGTGACATTCAAATAGGTGAGATAGTAATTTGAGCAGATGGGTGTATGTGTAGTAGTTGTCCCTGTGTTGTGCAACACATTCTCCAGTTTCAGTTACCTGGAGAAGTCTTTAAGAAAATCTCTTGCCACATGATCGTAGCCTAGAAAGGTGCCATCATCGTAGCCTAGAAAGGTGCCATCAGATCCATTTCACTCACTCTGGGTGAAACAAACGACCAGAGGCACTTTAACAGGACACTGAGGTGCTCTAAATAAGAGTTTGAACCAGCAAGAGCACTTCTACATTTTGAATTGTCACAAAGGACCCAACAGAGACTGTTGCTACAACCAAACGAGGAGCCCTAGTCATTTCACCACAGATAATGTGCCCCACCTGGTGATGTGATATGCATGAATGATGATATGAGTGAGCTGAACAGAGGCTGTTTAAAATTTTATGGCAAGTTCAGTCTGTCCTTGTACAGATGTAAATAATTCCTGCAAAACGTTCTAGTAACATAATTCAAATATACCAGACAGGAAAAATTCAAGGTAACACACGTAGTTTATGATTTCCACACTCACCTGAAGGGGCCCCTCGGTCTCTGCTAAGGCTCTCTCCAGCCTCCTCTTGACGTCAGTGAGAGCTGCTATCTCTGTCACCATGCTGTCAATCTCGTGGTTCAGCTCAGACCTCCAGAAGACAATGTCGTTGAGCCTCTCCCCAATGTTCTTGCTGGTATTCTCCTGGGTTCGCCTGGTCAGCTGCTCTTTATCTTGTATCAGCCTGATAGTGTCTCTTCTCAATCTCTCTGCACTTTTTCGGGATGACTCAGACTCCCTGTAGTTGTTTTGGTTGGACTTGTGCCAGTCGTCCGGCATGTAGCGGGTGCCCATAGCTGTTCTGTTAGATGGATAAAACATAGTCTTGGCCCGAAACAGATCTAAATTCTCTCGTTGTATGGAAGAGGAGGCTGGGACCACTGCACTGTTCTTGTAGTAGCTGTTGGTTCTCCACAGGTTGGCATTGGGATTCATGGCCAAGGCAGGCTGGGTGTTACGATAGCTGGATGCCATGGTAGAAATTGCCGGGAGGAAGTGGCTGGTTTTTGGTCGAGTGTAGGTGGCCGTCAGAGTGGATCCAATCAGCTCCATGTTTATCTCCCCTCAGTACCACTGGTTTAAATGCAGAGGATCATTTTTCCAATCCAGGAAATTCAGACATAAAATACAGTATAAAAACTTAATAGTCAAGTAAAATTTTAGAAATTAGAAACATTTCTCATGAGGCACATTAGAGTGAACAGGTAACAGAAACTAAAGTGACAAAAAAGCAGCACAAAGGTCTTACCAGGAGCTTTTCCTTCAGCACACAGAGTCTTGTTGTAGGCAGACTACCTCTCAGCTGTGTTTACCTGAGAATGAGCCGAAGAACTCACTAAAGGTGAACTGACATGCGTAATGGATGGACAAGTTTGCAAGTCATTCATTGAGCCAGCCAATGGTGTTGTGCAGTCCTGGGCTGCAGGAGCTGCCCTGCCCGAGGTTTCTGTTGATGCAGAAGCAGTTGCCATAGGTTACTGTAACACTCTGCCTGGGATGTCCAAATTAATGGCGTGGCGTGGAGGTGCTTTTTTTTTGGTCAAGTAAATTTAGTGAGATTGCAAAATGTCACTACAGTGTAGGTAAGATTCTTGAGGTCTTTTCTTATTATTAGACACATGCTTATTAGCTCATTGCAGTCCAAATGTAACTAAGCACGTTTGCAGCACAAGGCTAAAATACAGGTACTTGGCACTCCTGTGAATGTGTTTTCTATGACCACCAGGGACTTAAAGCTGCACTGCACATCAAACAGTACTTTTCCTGGTCTTAATTTTGCTTCTTCATTATATGTCAGCAAACCTAAAATATGTTTTCTGGTAACAAACAAGATAAAATAACATTTTTAGCAGTGAGGTCATATAGCAATCTGAGCTTTGTCTTGGAAGCAGTGGAGTTCACTTTGTCTCCAGGCAGGGTCAGGTAGCTGCTCATCATCACCCTGAGATCCTAGCTGTCTGTATGGATTACAGTCAGCTGCTTAATGATTCATGCCACTGGAAGAATACACAAACCCCTGTAGCACAGAATAATAATCTGTGTTGTGTTACCGAGCATTGGAAATGAGGATCATTTACACCAATCTGTCCTGATGGTGCAGGGTTGGACAGATGATAGCCTGGTTTCCACTACAGAGACGAGTAAAGCTGTAGCCAAGAGTTGCTCAGCTGGATTCTCTTTATTAAAAAAGTGCAACCAGACACAAAAGACACAAATAACATTTTTTTAATGCGTTATTTAATTCACAAGCTAAAGTTGGGTGGCGCGTACATGCTCATTACAGAATGTTTTCTTCAAATCCTGTGTCTTGGAGCGCTACCTTGCAGTGCTCTCACTGTGGCGGCTAAGGGGAGCTGTCTAGTCAGTCTTATGTATACATAAGGAAAACGTTCCCTCCTTGGCTGTATATCAGACTTCACACCAATGAAACGTAGTGAGACCAGCTCTTTGCGCTACTTAAATTACAGTATTTGTACCAGTTTCCTTTGTATAATGTGGGTACCTCCTCAGGATGCAGTGTTAAACATTGACACAGCAGCCTTCTTTTTTAAGTAAGACTTACACCATTGTCTTGAAATCTTGAGTAATCTTCCTACAAGTGTTGGAAAAAGTATTCAGCCCCTTTATGTCGGTAAATGAAGCAGATACCACAGTCAAAAGTCCGAGTCTATATTTTCTGACCACATATACAGGAGCAGTTATACTGACAAACCCATTCAAGTCGTAAGTTTAAATTATTCATGCAAAATCGATATCGTCTGTTTCTGAAGCTGAAAAACCAGGATCTGTTTACATTTGTTTTCTCATTCATCAGCATGAGTCTGACATATTCATCAGTGATGCTTATTTCTGTCCTCAGACGAGCCAAACGAATTTTAGTTTTTTGAGACCAATTTCAACAAAATAATGGAAATACAATCCAACAATATATTTACTGATAATACTTTTTTTTTAAACAAATTAAAAAAAGAACTTCCAGTATTATTCTAAAGTTTAAGATGGCACATTTTTCAACATTAAACTGATAATTAATGACCACAGACAGTGTTAATAAAATGACAGTTGTAGCTGAAATGTTTTAAATATTTGGAGCAAAAATACATAAATCCACATGTAGAACACTTTCAACTTCAATATCTTCTTGTGTCTCTGTTTCTTACATAAGTCACTATTTGGCAAGATTAGTCTGCTGATATATCATTCTGTACTTTTAAATGTATACATACATACGGTATCTGTCATATCTGCTCTGCAGCATTAACCTCAGACTCACTAATGTTGACTCTGTGATTGGCTGCAGGTTCAGGTGGCCTGAAACCTTCCTCGTGACTCGGCGCCAGCTACAAAGAGGCTGTGCTGCGCTGCTATTTTGCAGCCAGTGGTCAGCCTGCTATTGTCATAAACATGGAGGTTTAGATTTAGAATGGAATGACATGTCACTGCTCCACCCCGCCAACTGCAGCATCACTTAACATGGGTATGTTGAAGGAGGCCACCCCACATGCTTCTGCCGCCCTGACCTCAGCCGCTATAAATACGTCCTAGAAAAGCATGAAAAGCTGGCCCTCATATGAAATTCCTCCCCTGCATAGAGCTGAGCTTCTCCTAGTCAATCTCCCCATTGGCCTCAAAAAGTTAGAGGGGCCTATATATACACCTGCCTTGTGGCCCAGAGAGCATATTGTGAATTACTGCATAGTGGGGATGTCTGAGGGAACAAGCAGAGTTGAACAAGCAGAACATTGAGCTGAAGGCAGCAATGCTCATAAGAATGACAACTCAATACATAAAAGTTTTTTACATTAATCTTGGCCTTAAATGCACAGTATCTAAGAACCTATTCAGTTTCGTTATTTTTGTATTGTAGCCACCGAGCAGTCAAGTAGTACAGTTTGTGGATGAATAGCGACCCAAGCAGGAAAGGAAACATGTCACAGTTGCTGTAATGTGTGGTGATTTGGCGGAGGTGCTAGGCCCATGGACTTTTTTTTCATTTTGGCTTGGATGAGCCATGTGGAGGATGCTCACATTTAGACAGAAGAGACAAAATAAATGATCACACCGCATCAGCAGTATGAAGGAACACACGCTCCCTGAGGCCTTGACACATCCTTCACTTTTCACCACTCCCTGAGGCCTTGACACATCCTTCACTTTTCACCACTGACCTTCTGCTTATCAGGTAAGAATAGACGAGAGGAGGAGGCCTAAGTGTTTTCTGAACATTCCTGCCAAGTGAAAACAAGCCCATGTCTGTTCCCCCTCCGGTTTCCTGTGTTTTCACTACTCCATCCCCTCACCCGTCCCAATCCTGAAAGCTTCCCGCTTCATCCAGCACTGGGGTCACACCAGATTCCTCTTACTTTCAGATTATACATTTTAGTAGGTAAACTGGATTTATAGCTTTCTTTCTCTCTGACTGAATATATAGGCTGTTACTATGGCATCGGGTTTCTCTCATGAATTGTGGATGGAGCAGTCATTGAGGAGCATAGCACACCTGGAGAGAAACACAGGAGAGGAAATGAGCCATTAAATCTGATGACACTATTAGAGATCCCCCACTGAGGTAATGGTACATCCAGATGGGAAAATCACAGGAGCCTCCTGGGCTCATCCCAGGTCATCAGCAGTTATTAGAGACAGGGCTGGTGTGTGGTCTGACTGTTTACTCTCGTATCCATGATACATCTCCTGATGTCACTCTCTCAGTTGTCACTAAAGCCTTTTTTTCCAGGGGTACCAAGTATACACAGTGTTAAGTGAACTTGATCATGTGGGCCATTATAAATTTGGCTTTTCTAAACAAATCCCTCACAGACGTGGAGCAAGAATGCAGCAGCAGAAAAGGAACAGCTTTAGAGCTAAAAGCAGGAACTCTCTGTTCACACTGCAATTTAATTGTCTGCTGAAACAATTGTATTCAGCATTCTTTAATCCAAAAGAGCTCTAAATTGATTTGTCAATATGACATAATATTTAGAGCTGCTCAAATGAAAAAAGGGAACATTAGCTCAGATCGGTTTCCAGAAGATTTAGTTATTTTGTCTCTGGTGGTTACTACTGTTTGACCATAATGCATGCCATTTAGATTTTTTTTGTTTTAAATCTGATAAAATGTCAACAACTAACAGCAATTTACTTTATCAAAGTCAGTGGCATTCAGCCGCAAGCCTATTGGTTCATACTAAAGATGTAAATCTTTATAAATGAGTCAAATTAATGCTAAAAGGGCTAAGAGAGCCGAGTGTTGTAGTTTTTAACAAAAGCTACTCGAACAGGTGTGTGTAGCATTGCAGTAATACAGTGTTCATGTTCCGAGTAACGGAAGGGACCTGACACCCTGTGCAGTGGTGTGGCTCACTCATATGCTTATCATTTTTGATGAACAATAGTGTAGAGGAATTAACTGTATTAGACCTTGGCTACACAGGCCATACCTGTTAGCTTGTCTTTTCACAAGATTTGTTGGCAATAAGAAGAACGTATAACTAGACATTTCCTTTAAGCAGTCACTTTCAAGTGTGTATATGTCATGGTACAGTTGTTAGCAGTGTCCATCAAGAATATACATGTGTCATAGCAATAAGAAGCCATTAACCCTCCTGTTATGTTGCAGGTCAAATTGACCCACGAACATAACTGCTTTAAATGAGATAAATATTTGATATGAAGAAATGAACATAACAGGAGGGAACCCTCCTGTTATGTTCATTTCTCAGGTGATGCCTGCTCAGCAGTTATGTCCGTGGGTCAATTTGACCCGCAACATAACAGGAGGGTTAACATGCTTGCAAGCCTTGTGTGTGTGTTTGTGTGGGGTTGCATGGTAACTACTGTGTCCGGAGTTTGATGGCTGCATGGTTAGTGGAAAAGCCTGTGAGGCACAGACAACTCAGGGGCTCTATTACATTACGCAGGCTAATGGATGCTGTATTAGATCGTCAGACAGAGGAAACGGGGAGCAGACAGACAGACAGGCAGCAGAGTGTAAGATATTTTTCCCAGTTCTCTTAACCAGTGAAACTCAGAGAGACGAGGCGGTCCAAGTG